ACCCAGCAGTCGTCGCTGGGTTCCTCTGAACCCAAGAACGAACCCAGGCTCTGGGTTCCAAGGAACCTAGCGCTGGGTTCGTCGAACCCAGGCTCTAGGTTCAAGGAACCCAGCTGGGTTCACCTGGGTTCGACAAACCTGGCGCTAAGTTCGACGAACCCAGCTAGGTTCGAAGGAACCCATCGCCTGGGTTCCTTCAAACCCGGTGCTGGGTTCGGTGGCATTGGGTTCTTCAACAAATAAATAAATAAATTTTTTTTGTATTTTTGTGGGTGTTATTTGATGATGATGATGATGAATTGAGTGATGAAGAAGGAAAGGAAGAGCGAAACCAGCACTGGGTTTGATCGAACTCAGGCATTGGGTTCTTCAACGAAAAAATAAATAAATAATTTGTGTTTTTGTGGGTTTTGTTTGATGATGATGATGATGATGATGAATTGATTGATGAAGAAGCAAATGAAAGAGGAAGGAGAAAAGGAACGAGGAATGCCCAGTTGGGTTTGAAGGAATCCATGGCGATGGGTTTGACAATCACAGGCATTGGTTTCAGGAAATGAAGAGGAAGGAGAAAGAATTTTTAAAATTTTTATTGCCATGTCACTGGATTTTGCCATGTTGTCTTCCAAGTGGATTAAAATTTTGACATGTCATCATCTCACCGTGAATTAACAATACACGTGGAGAGATTTTTAACGGAATGACCAAATTGGGGTAAAAATGGTAAATAGTAGGGACCAAGTCAGGGATTTTTTAAGTTGAGGGACTTAATCGGGGGTCCGTACAATAGTTGAGGGACCAAAAAAGGGGTTTAACCAACAAAAAATTATGAGAGAGGTTGGTGCAATATTTTCACTAAGATGCTTGACAAAAGTGCAAAAATTAATTTATTATTATAAAGTGATCAATAATTATACAACATTAAAAAAAAAAAGAAAAAAAAAGAGAGAAGACCAACTCAGTGGAAGACTTTTAATAATGACTCAAAAGAGACTATACATCAAAAAAAGAGCCGTGATTATTATTACCCTTAGAACAATGGGAACAAGGGGAAAGCTCGGACTGGGAGGCTTCAC